CCATCCAAGGAACCTGACCTCTGTGTCACAGGGGCTGCCCTGCTGTCCTGTGTTTGTGGGGGCGAAAGAGGGAAGCCACGCCAGCTCGCTCAAAGGTGAGAAATGAATCTAAAAGAGAGACACCAGAGAGTGTAGGGATGGAAGAGTGAAAAGCAAATTCATTCTTCCCGGCAGGAGGCAGATTGAAGAGCGGGAAGAAAAGGCTGAATCATCACCGTCACCTTCCACCAGCATCGTGCTAACGAGCTCTCGAATTCTGGCTAGCACCAAAGTCCTGATATGGGACAGACACGAGTTCTCTGCAGGCCTCACTGACCTCCAACCACTTAGTAGTCCTCAAACTTCCTCATATCACTTCCATTGCACCTAATTTTGCCAATGAGGAAGCTCAGGTTCAGAAAGGCTGAGGATGGCACTAGGTGGTAGAAGGGAGCCCATCGTCCCAAACTCAAAGCCTCTGCTCTTGCCAGAGGCTTCTGTGCCTTGCTGTGAGTTGGGAGGGTGCCAAAGAAGACCCTGTCGAGCCCCCAAGACCAGCTGGCATTGTGCTCACCCCATTAGAGGGGACAAGGTGACCCCTGGAGCTCCTTCTGCAGAGGAAAACTCATTGCATTCGAGGAAGAAATAAAAGAAACAAGACAAGCAGGATCTTGCCTCTGTGATCCATTAAAATGTCTCCCATGTGGGTGACGGGAGAAGGGTTTCTGTGGTCAGAGATGTAAAAAGGTAATTATTTTCACACAAGTCCTTCCACACAGTTTTTCACAGACAGCAATTTTATAAGGCATAATTATCTATTTTCACCTGCTTCATAAATTCCTCCTTTCCATTTTGTCCCCCAGTAAACTAGAAATTATTTAAAACTGAAGCCATCATCACGGTGTTCCGTTTCAAATGCTGCCTGCTTCCTCCTGTACTCTTGGTGGCTCCCCGTGTTTGGCTGGCTCTGTCCTGTTCACTGGGCCATGGGATCCACCTGCAGAAGGAAATGTGTCTTATCTGAGGGCTCCACAGGCCTCTGCCTCTGGGAACTGGAGGTCAGCCTTGTGGGTCACACGCATGCTGAGCTATTCCACCTCCCTCAGTCCAGGTGAGGGGGCTCAGCAGGTGCCTGGTTGCTTGGTCCCTGCCTTGGTCCTTCCTCCACAGCATGCCTGAGAGTCCTGGCAGTCACTTCCTCACCTGTTTACACCAGGATCTTCAGGTGCAAGTGATCACATGTTGTGAGGTCATGGCACAGATTTCACTGTGACACTTGGATGGTGGCGTCAAACCCAGGTTGCCCCAACAACACTTTTGTTGTCACATTTCTGACACCCTCCCTTGCCAGGAGCCTTGGTGTGCTGCAAGCTTCACGCTTTCTAAGGATGCACCCAGAGAAAGCCTGAACATCAGTAGAGTTTACTATGAAGCAGGCGCTGTGCCAAAGACTCTATAACATGATTTTCCTTAATCCTTGTAACAGCTCAGAAAAGCTTGCGTTATGACAAGGTTCTGAGAATGAAACAGAAAGTGAGAAAGTTAAGAAGTTAGATCAAGGTCACAAAGAAGGAAGGGACAATTCAAATGTGTTTATTTGAAGTGTCAAGCCCATCTGTCAATTCCTGCATACCACTGATGAGTCTACAACCTTTGAGACAGGGAATGTGCGGGGATGCCGTAACTCCATAGAAATGCTCAGGGCCTCTGGACAGTGCCCAGGAAGGCAGTCAGGGGAACAAGGCAGTGATTTCTCCAGCCAAAGAACAGCAAGTCCCAGGCTCAGAGACACCTGCTCAGTTTGAGGCTGTCCCAGCCCATCCCTGCTGGGTTGGTAGGGGTGCATCCTGAACCTTCCTCTGTCTTATCCCTCTGACTTCCCCCTTCTGCCTCCTCTCCCCTCAACAGCTGCTATCCGGGCCCCCTGCTAATTTCTTCCTGAGGATGATCCTCCTTGACCAGGTCACTTAGTATCGATAAGAGATATGCACTGGTGGCAGGGAGTAAGGGATTTCCTGTGACCTGCTTCTAACTGGTCTCCAGATCGCACTCCATTCCCAAGTGGCTTAAATCTTGTGTATGAGCCAGTCTTGAGCCATGGCCCAGTTGGGGAGTGGCTAGCCAAACACTCATGTAGTGGATTTCTATCTGTAGTGTGGGGTGTGAATGTAGGAAAAAGGAAAAAGAAGGAAGAGGACACCTGCAGACCAGTAGCAGTCATGTGACCATAAACTCCCAGCAGGGGTCTCACAGTAGCACCACCCTCCGACTTCCCTAGAGTCAATACTAGCTGCTCCAACATTGTTACTGACTACAGCTGCACCCCTGTGGAGCCCACTGACCAGACTCAGAAGCAAGGCTAGACGCACAAGGCTGCCAGGACCTTTCAGAAGGAGGTCAAGGGCTTCCAGCTCTCCCAATGGATGAAAAGCCAATGAAGAAAGGACCAAATAGCACCACCAAAGTTGTCAAGCTTTCTAAATGCTTAGATGCAGTAAAGAAATAAAAATGGGATGGACATCTGGCATGCCACTGGGAGGGTCACCATCCTATTTCATAATGTCTGGGGTCCAGTTCCCACTGCTGCTGATTCTAGCTTTGCCTAACGCTCATCCAGGGAGGCAACAAGTAATGGCTCACGTAGTTGGATCCCTGCCACCCACATGGGAGGATTGGACCAAATTCTTGGATCTTAGGCCAAGGCCAGCCCTTGCTGGAAATCTGTTGACTAAAACAGCAGATAGAAGATCTCTTTCTGTCTCTCTCTGGCTGTTTCTCTGCATTTCAGGGGAGCATAAGTAAGTAAAATGTGAATGTATATGTGCTGATCCCAAGAGCCTAACAAGAGCCATTAAATTTCAATTCTGAGTGCACTAAAGGTTTCATAGCCCTAAGATCCTTCATAAAATGCTCAATATTGGGAGTAAATGAGTGTGACTACTGCTATATGATTATCTAAAGACAATGTCCACATGCTAAATCTGAGGCCCCCTCCGATTTTGGCCTCTTTGGGCACTCATTTACCTTGCAGGTTCTCAAGCCACAGAGTAAAAACAGTCAGTGTCCTGAGTACCCCCAAACCAGCGAGGCAGTAACTATTTCATACATGGATAAAATGGCACTCGCATCCTCCCTACTCCAGTCCTCCTCTCCAAGCCTGAGTGGGGCTAGCACACTTGCTCTGCTCCAATGCTCAGCCAGCCGGAGCCCCAGGCCACACTGCAGGCTGCTGCCTTACAAGCAACTCCAGATAAGCTCCTTGTATCTGGAAAATTATTTACTGTGGTGATGTGTGATGCCTTTTTAAGAGAACAGATGGCACCTCCAATTAGAATGCTTTAAAAAGAAACCCTAATGAGATTATAAAAGCCAACAAATTGACTTTTTCATACACTACTTTCCTGGCACACAATAAATCAAATATATAATGAGGCTCAATAAAATAATAGCCTTATTTACACTTGTTTTGCCTAGCATTGTGTGGTACCCCTGACCGCCCCCTGAGTCACCTTACTTGGTACCTGGTCCTGCAGAGCAAGGCAGAGACCTGGACAATGTCTGGTACTATTTGTGCAGGCTTGGTCACATGCTTTGGCCATCACAGAGATGGGGCCTCCGGCTGGACATTCAGAAAGCAGTGAAACATCACTTTTAAGTGGTTCTAAAGAAGTAAACTAGGCAACACATTTCAGGATCATCAAATATCCTCAGAGAACCTCAGAAATAAGTCAGGGAAACACCACATTGAAAAGCAGGGACTGCGGTGGCAAGAATGAAGTTCTTCCTGTCCACAAACCATCAGAGAAGGAGGTCTGGAGAAAACTAGTTTATAAGAGAACGAGCTTTTCTTCTCTTCAACTCTGTAAGCATTGATCAAATCTAGGACTACAATCTTGAAGACACTTTCATTTGGCTCCCGCATCCAGCAAAGGTTACACAACCACACTACAGGACCAGAGTTAAGAACTCCCTTCAAAGGCTTATCATGCTTTCTGTCTGTCCGACTGCAAGGAAATATGAAACAGTCTATGCACCCTTCTCTCCTGGGGGTCTGCTAGAGATCTGGTCCTAGGAGGGGTGAGGGGATGCCCCTACTCTCAAGGACCCAAGCAGCAGCATCTAGCACAGAAGAAGCCTTGCCTGGATCAGTGACCTCCAAATATAATGGGAATATTAAAAAGGAGAGACCAGCCCTCTTCCAGGCTTCAGGTCTTAGCAGAGCAAATGCAGATTCCCTAATGCACTATGTAGGGAGGGCCAGTGGGGCTTGCTCTTCTGTGTGATTATGTGAAAGGAGAGTGAGAAGGGATGTCCCCTCCATCACTCCTTTCCAGAAACTAAAGCTGCCTCTGTACTCTCGCCCTTTCCTACACAGCACTGGGAGAGTGGATGTAGCTGATGTAGTAGCATCCAGTCCTGACTATCTGGGCCTCAGAGACATTCTGTAGTTAGACCTCTGGTTGAGTAACCTGGACAGGATGCAGCTGCTGCAGCACCCTGGGCAGTGAAGGTTCTCAGAAGGTACTTCCATGGCCCTACCACATGGGCAGCTTCATTTAGTAGCTAAAGCAGATCAGGTACAAAACAACTGGAAAGTGAATCAAATGACAAAAGCTCCAAGCAAAGCCTAGTCACAGACATACATGAAGACCTAACAAGAGGAGAGCTTCATCCCTAAGAATTGAGGAGGGTTTCTTGGAGCCACCATCTCTGGAATAGTTACTAATTGTAGCAATATCTTAATGGATTTTGATTTTGCACTCAAGGAACTCTGTAGGCTAGTATTTTAGCCATCTGATGAGCAACTGATCTGCTGGTGTGACACAAAGTTTGTCTCATTTGGAGAAAGAACATCATTTTGGAGAAAGAAGAACAGGGTCCCATGCCTGCTTAGCATCAAGAGCTGTCCATTTCAGCACCACGGTCAGCACTTTTGCTGTGCAAGAAATGAAGGGAAATATCTTTCTTACCCTAGAAGACCTCCTTGCATGACTCCTCATGCCAAAGGTCTCGATACTTACTGGTGCATGCTACTTCTGGGGGGTCAAAATCTGCTCGGTAATAGCCAGTCCGGCAGGTGCAGATAGGAGATGCTTCTGAAGGAGAGCGGCTGTTGGAGGGACAGTGGGAGCAGCCTTCAGCTTCCTGGTTGGCCTTGAACGTCCCTGCAGGACAGGCTGAAACACAAAGAGACCATGTGAGAGTGAGTGGTAGAGTGGCACCCAGAGGGCTTTCCCAGGATCTAGAGCATGAATGATTCTGCCATCCCTAAAGGATACCCAGATGTCCCCTTGCAACAGGTGAGCATCTTACACTGGGAACATCTGTACTCAGCACCTCCAGATCTCCCAACAGCCTTAGTGAACGACACCTTCTTGGCACTAATGGCCTCTCACTTCAATAACGATTCTTCCCAGAGATTGAATCAAGAAAAATAATCTAATGGGTAACCCAGTTGTTGGCCAACGCAATTCCCTGAAGGAATCCTGTCTGGTTAATGCAACTCCATGAAGGCATCTTGCCTTATGACCTTAGAAGAAAAGAATTCCTGGTGGATGATGGTCTCGACCCATTGCTCTCAAATACCATGTGGCAACTCAGAGAATGACACTCTGAGACATATTTACCAGAACTTGTTATGAATGATGGCAAAGGATTTAAATGTTGAGTGATTCTTTAAAAGAGAAACTAACATGATTTCAAGGTTAATGCCTGAACAACATCATTCTCCCTTAATTGCAGTTTGATATGCTTTCGGGAATGAGACAAGGAAAAGATGGCTTTGTAGACAGCACGCAAAAGAACATGCCACGAACTTGATATCATCTATCACATACATGGCAGTGGGAATGGCTGGAGCAGCTGGAGCATCTCAACATCCACTGGAGGTTGCCTCCTATGTGGGGCTCCTCCTAGCGTCCTATGGGATCAGCCAACAGCCATGTCCTACAAAATTTTGCCTCCCTGTTGTCCATCGGGTTTGACGATCCCTCCTCTACAGAGACCTCCAAATCCAGACACCTGTTCTCCTGGTTGATCCTCTAAATACCAATCCTCTCTGCCCCACTGCCTGAGGTCCTGCATCACCATCTCAACCCTTGCCTCTTCCTATCGCCAGAAAACCTGCTCTGACTTATCCTCGTTTGAGGCTGGGAAAATACCTTACTGCATTGTCAACTTGTTTGGCATTATCCCATCCCTCACTAATTCACCCAGCACCAATCGCACACTGCCTGGGAAACAGACATGGAGATCAGAGGACAGTCCAGAGTGAGGAGTTCTTGATGCCACATAGTCCCACCATGAGCACACAATGAGATTGTCGAATAGTGGAAATTCTCTTGCAATGGACTCTGCTTACCTCAAGTAGATCTCTCCTGGAAAGTGCAGAGTGTTCTTTAATATTAGTGGTAGTGACCATCTGTTATTTCGTCTTATGAAGTATTTTCAGGTACTATGCTATATTGTAATTATTATGATCTCCATTTTGCTATTGAGCAAAGTGGACCACAGAGAGCTTAGGAAGCTAAACCACATGGCACAGTGGAAGCAATGACAGCGATGGTGTACATACAAGCTACTGAAGAAACACTGCCACTGTCCGGCCAAAACAAGAGGGAAGAACTATTTCCTTGTTTGTGAGAGTCTTCTCCCTCCACTGCTCACACAAAGAGGGAAAGGATTTTAGGTACTGTAGATGTGGCCTGGGGTGGGAGCCCATCTTAGATGTGAAGCAATCTTTGAAATGGAATGTTCTGGAATGACACAATGTGGTCTTGGGGCATCCAAGTTCAATGTGTTATGAACACCTATGACTTACAAAAGTATGTGAAAACACAGACGTAAAAAGTTAATTTCAGACCCGGTGCAATAGCCTTGCATTTGTCAAGATGCCATATGGGCACCAGTTCATGTCCTAGCTGCTCCACTTCCCATCCAGCTCCCTTCTTATGGCCTGGGAAAGCAGTTAAGGATGGCCCAAAGCCTTGAGATCTTCACCCATGTAAGAGACACGGAAGAGGCTCCTGGCTTTGGGTCAGCTCAGCTCCAGGCATTACGGCCACTTGGGGCATGAACAGCAGACAGAACATCTTTCTCTCTGTATCTCCTTCTCTCTGTATATCTGCCTTTCCAATCAAAAATAAATCTTTTTTAAGTTAATTTCATTGTACTCTCATTGTACTTTCTCAAAAACTTCCTACGTGGGATATAAATTGTTTTGCTATGCTTTAAACTGTATCGAGTGGGAGAAGGGAAAACTTGTTCTCTAAGCTCAGCTGATGCACATGAACTACTCTGTAAACACACATAGAGACACACAGACAGACAGAGTTCAGATCTTTACCAAGGCCCCACCAAATCAAACACCCAAAAGGAAAACCTTCAACAGCTTTTGGTTGACGGGTCTACCCTTCCAAGCCTGCTCAGTGAAATCTGGCACTCTGTCTCCTTGCCTTGTCTTCCTCATCTCCCAGGATGGCTGCTTGGCCCTGTCTGTGACAGACCCCAGCAATCCCAGGCCCCACTTAGTTCTGGAGCTGAGGAACACACACAGGTCCAGCCAGGCTGTGCAGCCGGGACTCAGAGGAGCTTCTCTGTGAAGTGGGGTGGGGGGGGCAGTGTTGACTCCTCTTGCATCTGTCCCTGTGGAGCTGTAATTTCCTTAATGCATCCGTCCAAGAAGAACAAGGTGTTTTCACTTTCTTTGCAGCTCTTAAAAGCCTCCTCACTTTACATTTAATAAGTTAACAGCATAAACAATCACGCCAATGTCTACAAGTAGCAGAGGAACCGGGAAAGTGCCTTTCTGTGGAATTTCAGAAAGAAAAAGGCAGTGCTTTGCATTCCAAGGTGACCACAAGCAGAGCATGGGAAGGACATGGATCCAAGCTGGACTTCAAAGGAGAGAGGCTCAGAGAAAGAGGCTCTGAAGGAGGGAGGCACAGAATCCATCCTCCACGGAGAAACGCCACCGGGGCAGTGGCCGAAGGCCCCGGGAATTGATTGCTGGCTCCACCTGAGTGAACGCCAGCAAACGAGACGACTCATAAGCTCGGAGTGTTCATCTGTCTGCAAGATACCTGGATTTCTCCAATAACGCCATGAGAATTTAATAAGCTCAGGAAAAAATGAACGTGGCCTTAACGTGTGTAAAACAATGCTGATTTCTGTCCACCCCAATTTACGAACCCCCATTAGAAAAGTAGGCCTTCTTTGCAGCAGCTTAATAATCCAGGGTCAGGTTGTAGGCACTGGGTCCCCATAAGCAAGTAAGTCCTAGAGCCAAATGGAAAGATGTTTCTGCTTAGATGATTTCTGATTGGGTTAGTAAATGAATCATTACATCTGCAAAATGGATTTTAACTATAATACACAATGGATAAATCTCCTCGCTGTTCAGATTTCATAAGTTAATATCTTATTAAAAATCTGTGTGCAGGCATTCCCTGATTTACAAAGAAGCAAGAGTCCTAAATTTGTTTCTTAAACTTTGATATTGTAATTTGTAACCACACCTGTACTCCATTTTCTCATGGAACTCGTGGCCAGTCCACACAGTCCTTTTAGCTCCTCTTATATCAGAAAACACAAACATGAAATAGACATTCACAATATTGATATGTCACTGGAAATTTAACATAAAAAAATTAAATAAGAAAACTAAACAACCTCTTGAGAGAGAGAGAGAAAAAAAAAGCAGCTTTAATTAGAGGTGATAAAACGGGATTTTGGGAGATTCTGGCATGGAATATCTAGGTCCAGGGAAGGAAATGTAGATGATCTTCCAGACCAGGTAGGTCAGCTGGGCATGAGGAATAGCTGAGGGACATCAGTCGGGGATAGTGAAGACAGGCAGCCTGGAGGACAGCACAACTGTCTACAGTAACAGACACCAAGAGTCTCAACCAAGCTTCCCAGTCCTTTGGAGGTGGATAACATGGTTCTCTATTTTAATATTCCAAAATTCAGGCACTGTCTTTCTCTCCTCAGGAAATATTATTAGCACTGATATTAATGTTAGAAGCCCACTCCCCAGCGAAGGGTCAGGGGCATCTACACAAGATGGGGAGGGGAGGGCAGAGCACAGAATGCCAGTTCTAATTCTTGTGTGTGCCAGCAGGTGCACCATGAGACAACTCGTCCCGCCCAGAGTGGCGTCAGGAGAAACGTCCTGCTGTGGTAGGTGAGATGTGACAGTTAGGAGCTGGGAGGACAAGCAGGAAGGCAAGAGGTGGCAGAACAGCAGGGCAAGGAAGGAAGATTAGATTTGGAAGCGCCCAGCCTAGGACCTCAGCAGAGAAAGCGTCATCGCCACTCCAGGAAGGCCACACGCACTTGGCTGTGGGTTCCAGAAACACCCTTCCCAGGTGAGACACCTGTATCCCGGAGGGCAGGGGCAGAGCCCACAACTGCTTTGTTTCCTTCAGGAAGACGGTCTGGCTCCCCCTATCACAAGCAGTCATCCATCAAATTGAAAACTACAAAACTGGCAGAGGCATGGCTTGCAGGTGGCGTCCCTCCCATCATCCCACACGGGCCACATGCACCCGATGCCCAGTCCCTGGCTTCAGCAGATGAGGGGACACATCTGTACGTCAGTCCCTAAGAGTGTATATTTCCCATCTGCCAGGCAACACACAACACATTTCCCTTCCTCTCCACACAGCAGGGGCTGGTACGCATCACCTTTAGCTGGCGTCCAGAAGGTCACCTTGAAACGCCCACCCTACTCCTCCTGGAGCCTCGGCGGCGTAACAAATTACCCGCTGCTTACATGGCTCTCCAGCACGCCCCTCCCGCCCACCGCCCGGCGGAGACTTCCAGTGACACTGAATCCATCACCTACAGTACTATTACTTTATAAAGAAACAGATTAAGTGTCTCATAAACAGTGCGGTGATTGAGATAATGGAAAGCGCCTCTCGTCCCCGTCTGCAGCATCAGTTTATGAAGCATTTCCAAGCAGCCAGGAAGAGGAAATTAATAGAAGCAAGAGGGAATAACCACTTTTATGCAATTTCCTCAGGAGATAGTGGACCATCTAATCTTTATTGGGGCCCTTTAACCTGTCACTCAGCACTCACCAGAGCCTCTTTAGCTCCCACAATTTTTCTTGATGTCGAAGGAAGATAAGATGAAAACCTCAAAACATTATTTTATAATTTTCAAATGTAGA